GTTGATTTACGCCACACTTATACGGTGGGGCAACTGCATGTCGAGACCCGCTAGGGACGCGAGCAAGCAGACGCCCATCCTATCCACACCAAAATTGATAATTTACACTCGCCCTGACCCCAGATGGCCGGGGCAAATGGGTTAAATCTTTTCCCGGAGTCTTCACCAATTTCCAGTTTCTTAGTTATCGCTTTAAGAACTCGAGTGTTCTTCGGGTGAAATAAATGTCAAGGTTTACAATACAGACTCTGCTATGCATCGAAATCGCTGAATACATGCATACGCTTTTTTTCTTTTTATTTTTTTGTGCTCAAGGGATTGCAAGAAGAGATTGTGAAATCGTATAATATTTGTATGTTGGTATACAGTCGACTCTCATTACAAAGAACACTGTTGTAACAAAACACTGTTGTCAAGAACAGATTTCAAGAATCCCAATTCCTTGAATTCCAGTTTTTGTCCTTGTTTTTTCACCCCTCTTATAATAAACATATTATAAATAATTGAGTAATCTGTTTTGTCCCTGCAAAAAATAGAACAAGTGTCGACTGTACAACGTACTTGGAACGCCCCGTCTGATTTCTTGTGTTTTTCACGTGAAGGCTGAATATTGGTCTGAATGATATTGTTCATTTGGGATCAAAAGCGCTTCTTTTCTAACTTTTTGCCTCTTTGACAGTACATTGTGACGCAAAGGTAGATATCAACTGTTATAACTATGGCGGAACAACTTGCTATCCAGATCCCACAAATTAGTTAGGCCCCCTAAGCGTCTACAAAAATGGTCGAAAAGTGGACTGGACACTATATGAGCAATAGTGACGATCTCGTTAACTTGCCAGATGGGAGAACATTAACTGAACACATAAACATTAGGCTTTTTCCAAATTGTGGTTACGTCAAATACCCTCCATCAAGTTGGTAAATGGAAATGGAAATTTTGACGGTATGGTCAGATCGTTTCTTTTTTATTAAAAAAATCGCAACTTAGCCCCCTTTTCCAAAGTTCACTCAGAAATTGGGGCGACTTGTGGATAAAGCCTGTATTTACGGTGTACTTCTAACCTTTAATTCGTAAATATTACAGTAGGAAAATGCCCAACAGAGGCGGGAAAATAGTGAGTTGTCATCGCTCGGGGACGATTTGCCTGACCCGCTGAATTACGTGTCAAGCCGGCAAGTATAAGGAGTTCATTAGTAGACCTGACTGATAACAAATCCTGACGGTTATGACGGCCGGTTACACCGTATTTCACACCTACAGTATTCCCTAAAGGGTCATGGGGACTGGCGCGAGTTGTTCCCGGGGAACATAACCGGTAGTTGATCGTTGCAGTCGCATACTGAGTGGTCGGAGCCATATGGTTCTGATATACTCTTTAAATTCAAACTCTAGCTTTCACCATCATAGCAGAATACAGGGAACTATCATGATTCGAAACCACACCGCTGGTTTAACACCTGACTGTTTCTTTGGTTTTTTTTTGCTGGACGAAAAAGGCCTTGAGTTGACTGTTTGTTTGGTTTTGTACTGCAAGTCTCACTTTTTGGGGTTTTTGAGAGCTAAGGTAAGCCGTACTGCACGGCTTTAAACTCTGTCGCTTCGATGAGCTGGCATGACCACAACTTCAATCAGAGCTGCCTCCCATTTTGAAGCGTGAACGACGGTCTGCGAAAAGGTATGTGAAAACTTGACAGGAAACCTGAAAAGGGAGATTAGAGTCGCAGGGATCATGACAAATGTGAGACTTACATCTCAAACAATGGATGTTTACATCTGAACATATGTTGAGACCCCAAGAGTAATACATAATAAACTTATCTGAAGTACGTCCCCTGAACTTACTTCAGCGCCTGGGCTGGCTGATTAAAGAGAAGATTTGCTCAATAAGATGATACCATACACAATTTCATTTGAGAGAAAATAATTTTAAGGGACTTCCATTATACTCAATAACAAGTTATGATACACGTTAAAAACGGTGAGCTTGAAATTCCTCAAGTTTGGGGTATTATGTTGGGACATTTAGGGCTGACCTTCAACCCTCATGAGTATTGCCGTTCAGAACTAGTTCACATAGATCTTGGATGAATATTGTGAGCAATGAACATCAGCTTTTCAGCCAACCTGACAACCCTTCACTTTGTATGACAGTAGTTAACATTTCATAAACATTTCGGAAGAATCTCTGGATAAGTGTCAATACACAAAGTGTCTTGCACTGTATGGGAAAATTGGCAAATAACGTGCTTATTAGTGTCTGAGAGAGTGTTAAACGGGTAGTTTTTACAAACAGAAAAACTTTATTTTTTAGTGTAGCTTTCATTCCTATTCCAAATAAAAAACTTTACGGCAACGTTTGACCCACTGGCCCATTTCACTTTATCATAATCGCCCTTGACACGTCGGATGCATCCCTGCAGTCTACCCCCGGTGGGGAAACTGGGGGCGTGTCCAATAACCGTCGCTGCTAAATTGAAATATCACTCCCGGGCCCCGCTACTGTCGTGAATCATCGCAGAGCCTAATAACACATGTGCGTCCGATTGTGCAACCCGTTCAGTGTTGGAATTTCGATGAGATCCAGTCGTAGACTTGTGTGCAGACGTGGAAACTGTTACAACGACAGGAGGACATTCCTTGTGAACATAAAATACATGTACGCGTGTTGGCCCTATTAAATTTTCAAGTCAGCTCCATTCTTGGAGACTACGAAAGGGAAACATGCATGTACAGTAGCATTGACCTTTCAATCAAATTCTTGACCTTTTGAGTAGGTAAATACGTGTACATCTAAGAAATAAGGATTCCAACAAGAAAGACAAAAGAACCCAATCAATACACATACACAACACAACGAAATAGGCAAACAATGTACAATGAGTGTAAACAACAAAACACTATAGGAACGCAACAAGACAAGAACGAAATGGTAGAACATGAGAAAAGAAAACTTTAAAAAAGGGGAAAACTGATACAACTGCTTCAGCTGTAAATCTGAACATCTGTAGATTAAACTGAGATTTATATGAGGCGGCTGCCCTTCGATTTGATTCTTTAGTCTCATTTCACACAAAGAAAACATTTAGGAAGGTAGACATTAATCGTTGCAGAAAATGCCCGTTTTTCATACTGTGCAAAATACTCAGTAAATGAAATGTTCAGAAGACCATAACACATTAATCCGCTATGAAGAGATATTTTCAACATATCACATGTTCGTTACTTTATTCATACAACACAGATTCGTGTACATTTTGAAGCTGAATGAAATAGTTTAATTTAATCGATATTTACAACAATAAAAGTGAAGCAGACAAACATCCTCGCCTTCATCAGCAGATGCAGCCCTAAGTGAACACCTTCGTTTTTGGATTAAGCAAAGATACGGGGGCTGAAGGTGACTACAAAGAGTATACACTAATCCGATTCGACGCCGTAACTGAGGTGGCGCTGCACTCACACTCACATTTTTTCAGCTTGACCCGCGTGTGCATTTGGCAAATCACGACATCCCATTGGTCAAAGAGGCGTGGAACGCCACCTGTCCACGAACCACCTGTCGACGAGCGTTGCACCACCGCAGTAATGGCTTCTAATTCTGCTGACCGAATTACAGCATACAGTATGTAAAGGCTTGCCCAGGTGCAAGATGCTTAGAGCAATCATACACATGAATACTGACATTTATTATAAAATTTATTAACATTTTTGAATTCACGATAAACATTGGGTTGGGGAGGGGAACGTATAACCTCTAGTGACTTGTTGGTCACAATTATGCGTTGCCCAACATGAAAAAGACTCCACCCCTAGGGGGAACATAGCATGGACTCATTACTAAAAATCATTCAAGGTCAGGAATTACAAATAAATAGCATTTCAACTGCTAACTCATACTTCTCCTCGGAAGAGATTTTATTTTAGCACTTTTTCTCTGCAAGGCTTGCTATTTCGTGAAAAATGGTCCCCGTTGTGGTGAATTTGAAGAGGAAATTAAAGGAGGCGGACCGACTAGATGTGGGACATAGATAAGTTCCGCTTCCTGTGAAACAAGTTTTCACAAATTGTTTTTTCAACTCGTTAAGCGATAATGTACATGTATGTTGACAAACGAGACCTTAGTCTTCATTTTGGCAGCATCCGCACTCGTTGTGCAGATAGGCTCATTATAATATCACACCTCCTTATTTTCATAGCAGGACCAGTTTCAGAAACTCTACAAAAACAACCCTTGGAGGTTGGTTCTTGCTTCAGGCGAACGCAAAAGCGAAGCGTATTTGATTACACGAAATATTTGCAGCGAAATTTCACTCGCCTGGAAATGTGTTCAACTTTTGCAGAATTCGCAGCACAAGCCATTTTGATACGACGACACGATTTCGTGTTCGCCGTGCTTGGTTCCGCGAGCCGGTATGAACTGGCTTCCTTTAATCGCTGACACTTGCTTTACCTTTGTGGCTGTCTTCCGCCGTATACGTACTCGCCGAAGGCTATTTACGCGGGCACGCAACATTTAAGCTCACTTTGCCGGTAACGAAATTGTTTTCGAGGAGCATTCGCCAGAGCGTGACGCCAATCAATTCCAGATTGATCTCAAACAGAAATCATAATCACTCTCAACCCTCAACAGAATTTACACCCAAATAGATACAAATTATTTCCGACTGTGCTCTGCACGCATATATACTATGCACGCTGCTGTACATGTTTTGAGCAGTCATTAGCATGATACACACGTTGTAAGATGGTCCTAAATTTAAAGAACAACTATCGAGTGAGACAATTCCCAATTCGAAATATGGGAATTCGTGAATGATATGTACATACTAATAATGCTCATTCTGTTTTATGAATGATGCAGATTGTAACTTCAAAAATCCTAGGCGGAAGCATCCCAAAATAAGGCTCGTTTTACTTCCTTCCCAAAAGACAATCTTCAAAAACAAGCCCCAAAATTTCCTTCACATATACAACATCTCAAACAAGAAACTTCAAGTGTTTTTTGAAATCGGTAAAATGACAATTTTATTTTCATGTTGAAGCCACTTAAGAGAATACATGTACATTTAAGGATAGTGACTTTTTGTATACACTGTGGTTAACACCAGTCCCCCAACAATGGCATTTTATTTCACCTGACGGGCTACAATAATTGACTTTATGTAACAAATGTATGTGCTTTGGTGCAGCTTTCCTGAATTACCATTTTTAGCCTCTTCCGGAAAAAAAGGTTAATCAGCAAGGTTAGCATCTGAGAATGAGACGTCAGTGCTGATCAACTAACTCTATTCTATGGCTTGTAGATCTGAAACACCTTGATTTCTTAGCCTGAACGTTATCAGTTCGAAGAAAAGGTTTCATCTCTGCTTTTCGCAAGAGCCTGAGAGACTTTTGGGAAAAGGGAGAGATTCTTCAACACGAGCAGAACGGGAAGAACGAGCAGAAATTTGACTGGTTGAAGGATAAATAACAGTTGTATGGGGAAAAACAATACGTATTACAGTCGAACTTCATTAATAACAGGTCTTTCTGACTTGGCGAATCACCTTGTTATAACAGGAACCTTGTACATGTATGATCAGGAATGAAAACAACGAATAACAAAGGATTGTGACCTAAAAGTTTCCTTCTTATAAGCAGAATCTTGTATTATCAGTGCTCTTATTAACGAGATTCGACTGTATTCGTCTTTTCCGACAATTCCCGTTAGACCTGACTTGCTGAGGCTAAAATCAACTAATAACAGCGAAGTACTATACAGACGGTCAAAAAAAAAAAAAAAAAAGAAACCTGAGATTTTCTGCTTCTAAGGCATGTAAAATAAAGAAAACCTGGGAATGAAAATGCATTATTTTCCACAGGCGTCCTTGTACCTTTGATCACGGGGCGGGAACATTTATGACCGAATACGCAGTCAGCCTTTCTGGATTACTTTCTGAAAAGCATCTGTGATTACTATTACTGTTGTTGACAAAATGCCTCCGTGAATTTAGCGTTCCATTGAACTTTTCCTGCCAAAAGGTCCAGATAAAATCTTCTTTGCAAGCAAGAACAGTATATCCCAAGATAGACTGACAAGACGGGAAAAAAGGCCAAAAGGTCACCTTCTTATCGTTGATTAAAAGTGTAGCAGTATTTAAAATTAAATAAAAAACACTCCGGTTTATACAGTCGAAAACATCATCAATTTTGTACGGCATAACAAGTAAAGAATTAAATTTGACATCTAACAGGAATACATCAGGCAGTCAGAACTGAAAGGCCCGCAACTTATCGAGTGGTATTCCCACCAAAGAAAGAATGGCAATTGTAACGTTTTTAGCATCGTGAGTGTAGAAATCTTGCTCGCGGGAATACCATGCCGTAGGGAGAATGGTTATTGACTTACTGCGTAAGAACAATGGAACTTAAAAGGAAGCAGTGGAGAGAAAGGTTGGCTGCTCCTGGTGATATATGCCAGGTATCTTTACATTCATACACATTTACATATAATTATATATAAACAGACTGCATCTTCACACTCATAAACAATTCCCGTAAGGTGACCCTGAAGGCTGGTTTGTACTGATGTTAATTGGTGAGAAAAAACGCCCTAGCTCAAATATTTTCTTGACGTTACTTTTTAAGAGGCTAAGAGGTACTAAGAATGCGGATACGTGTACATTAGGCTTGGAACTAATTGCTTAAGACACACAAAATAATGCCGATATGAACTTTAAACTGTGATTAATATACCAGTTAAGGGTATCGTTTGTATTGACAGTGATAGGGAATAGCTTCAAACTGATAATTTACATGTCCATGTATGTGCTATCGTGTTTTCTCGTGAATTCATGGAAAAGAGTTCTATGATGCTTGCTTCAGCAACACCACATTTTCAAATACATTTTGCGTATTCCTCAGAATGTATTGACGAAGTCGCGTGTCGTCTACACGTTATCTTGATTCCTGTTTTTTTCTTTTTGTCGCGATTTTATGGGACTTGGTTGAATGGCATCTATAGCGTATAATTTGCAGTCACCCAGAACGGTCTGTGTTTGTGAAGTTGTAAACAAGATGGATTTATCTTTTTTGCAGCACAGGTGTTCCAATCTAAGTACGTGTACTGACAAAATTACACCCTTTGCAGAGGAAAGTCAATCAACATCTGAATCCGGTTTCTCAAAGGTCAATTACAACTCCCTACATGAAACACATATGTCTCACGGATTAGGCTTAAAAACAATGTTAAAATCCTTAAACAATGAAAACGTTTCAAGTTGATACACTTAATGATATTTTGGCGGGAAAACAAAATGGTGTTTTGGACTGTATTGCTCCTTTCGGATTCCGTGTTATATCAAACAAGTTGGGCCAAGATAATTTTTTCCTGCAGTTTCACAAGCAAACACGTTCTTCATACCATGCTTAGCTTGAAAGACATTGTCTTAGAAAAGCTTTAAGGTGAACAATAACTATTTACTCTTATTCTTTCTACAAAGCCAAAGTCCAGATAATTTAGGAATAATACCACACATGTATTAGTATTTACAATATCCACGGCTCGTCGACACTTCTCTAAAACATCATCGCTGAATCATATATGTACACCTCGAGAGTTTGAAGTTACTGGAGAACAGTAAAACCTGTCTGAGCCAAGACTTACGGTGCGAGTTCAGACTATTGTCAGACCTCTCATCGGTCCAGTCCGTTACTGCGTGCCATCGCGCCCGGGTGCACCGCGTGTTGATGGTGATGGTGCGGCAGGCCGTTCATTGTGGGCTGTTGACCGTGAGCGTGGCTCTCTTGCACAGAGCGCTGTTGTTGCTGATGTGGATGCTGGTGATGATGCGGGCTTGGTGTAGCGGCAGACGGCTTCTTTTTGGCGGGGTCGGAGCCCGCCCCTTTCTTTGCCTTCTCCGAGACCTTCTTGAGTTTCATCCGCCTGTTCTGAAACCAGATTTTGATCTGCCGCTCGGAGAGGTTGAGAGAATGGGAGAGTTTGGAGCGCCGGTCGCGCGTCAGGTACATGTTTGCCTGGAACTCCTTTTCCAATTCGTAGATCTGAAACTTGGAGTAGGGCCGCCGCTTGGTTCGTCTGGGAGTAGTCGTGAAAGTGGCAAGTAGACTGCAAGACGAAGCGCCACCTGAAAAGAGTAATAAAACCCAAAATAATGAATCTGGAAAGGTAATGTCGTTACAATGCCACCTGCAATGTGCGAAGAATACATGTCTTCCTCTTCCGACAATTTTTCTCTAACATTTAAAGATTTAGAATGGCATTTTGCATCTATCAAATAAATGACAATACAATGTACTCAATATTTCTGTAAAGATTGTGATGACGACTGATCAGCACACACAATGTGTAAAAATGGATTAAAATGTTAGCCATTGTCACTGAATGAACAGGTAAGTTGCATAAAATGTACCCGTATTTTTTTTGGGGGGGGAGGAGAAATTGATTTGCTGACCAACAACGGGCAGACTGCCAACTTTGCAGAGGAACAGTGTAACTCGAAAGCCACACTATATGCCAGCCCTTGGCGACGACAAGCCGCAACCATACACGAAATTTCCCTGTCAATCGTCAGCACACGCACGCAGATCAGTTTGTGTTTGTAGCAAAACTGTCGACATTTGGACCCACTAAATGGTTTCTGTCACGAAAACCATTCCCATATTAATGTTTGCTCTCTTGGTCCGAGAAACTTGCTCAATGTGTGCTTCAATTTATACATGCGGTGCATGTCCAAAATTTCTTCATTTTCCGATTTGATGTGAACAACTCATTCGTCTGTGAAAATTGTGCATTGCATGCATCCAGATTGATCAAATCTGAATGCTACTGCGTATATATGAAGTTCCACATATACGAGATGATTGGGAAACGTTTTGTGTCCAAGTGATTGACACACACCATTATTCTTTTGTCGGAATGCAAGCAGATTAAATGGCCCTACTTCGCTCATCGAGTGCCGTGTGCGTTGAAACTACAGAACGTTTTGCACCTCGCGTGTCGGCGTATCACCTGACCGTTTGCAGACACCACAGCTCGGTAGGCCAGCATGGAGTCGGCAATGGTGCATGCCCATCGCAAGAAGAATAATTATGTCATTATCACGATAATTGTGATGAGTTTTTCTTAACAAGCGTGGCCTCGGTGTGCTTAAGACTTCTTTCTTGAGCACTCATATCAAACAGCCCACATATGACAGGGAGTTCTTCTGACGAGTAGGTATTTGTACGTCTTGCAGTTACCGTCTTATTCATGTACATGTATACATTTCAACAAACTATTTGGCCCGTGTATACTTTCCTAAAACCCATTTCACAGTTTGAGAAAAATACAACTAAAGATTATACAAGTGCATGTACCCTTTAAGCGATTTTCAGTGGTTTGTTTGACCACTGTTCTGCGAAACATGTCGAGAAAAGACACGATTCCGTTTCTAAAGCAAGCTGCAAACCATGCACTGAATACACCACAATAACACTTCAAAGAGATTTTTGCTCGGCTGTGTCAGCCCACAGAGTAAAGGGCCCTGTGCCTGAGAAAAATAAATAACGGGAGTCAGAACGAACCGCAATGATGGGCACTATTAACCGGTAAGATATCCCCACAAAGTGACAGAAATGTTTAAGATGCATTCGATGTAGGATCACTTAAGGGAAAGACGAACTTTTTCATGTAATACAGATGATTATTTCTAGTTGTATCACTCCAATCCTAAGTAACATCGGCATTGAAGGGGTGAGGTGAACTTCAATAAAAGGCAAACAGTAAACAAACATTGCTCGAAATTCGAACCGTGACTGGGTGTATTTTAGAGTACATACATTGTAAATGAATGTCTTTCAATGAGTAAATGCGTTTCTTTGTTACAAGCTCCCCCTTTTTTTCAGCGCTGTCTTTGTTCACTTCGAGTAAAGTTTAGGTAAAAATATCTGCCTGCACTCTACTGTGCAACGAATGAGTCGTTTTCAACCGAGTATGATGCCCAGCCATTGTTGTTGGCGAGATTTGTTACCGGCTATTCATTCCATTTCCAGGCGCATTTCCCAAACTATTCACGCTTAACTGAACACTCCAAACCTCGGATTGAACTCAAGCTGAACAAAACAACAAAAAAAAAACCGCGATGATATATGACAGTATTCAAATAACTCCTACAGACTTCGCATATCCCCAAAATTATCATTGAAATGTGGGGTAATAGATGCACGGCACCTATTGAAAAAAAAACACAGCACCACAAAAGTCATCCGATTCGTCACTTTTGGCAACAACGGGGACTAATCACGGAAGCGAAGGAAACGAATCCTGGCAGAGGGCTTTTGGTCTCGAAAACAACCACAGAAGGAGGAAGTTTTAAGCACGAGGAATAATCAGTCGCCATTGACAATTTGGTGTTTTCTTCTGTGACACAAGAATGACAGAAACTTTTGCGGTCGTGACAGAGTGCACCTTAGACAAATGGAAGCACAACGACCATGAAACAGATTACCGGACGGATTCCTTTTTTGCATTGTATTTTATTTTGGTGATTATGGTATTGGCCAAGCACAGCAGACTGTCGCTATTATGCCATAAAGAAACATTTGTAGGGTCTCTTCTTTAAATGATCTGGGAGGAATTTTTCAAGCCGGTGACGAGTCTGTTTACGAAGTTGGGACAAAGGTGAACAGTAGAGGAAAAGGCGCTCAGTCCCCTAAAACAAATGATCCTAACACGCCAGTCCCTTTGTTACCCAACCTAATCAGATGGTAATTCGAGCAATACAAATTTTGGCAACGACTGCTAGCCATTCGAGCCGGAGTGTTTTTCACTGGTCAGTTGGGACTGGGGAAAACATCAAGTTATCATGGCACCCTTCAAAAATGCGTGACCAACATTCAAACTCCACTGTTGGTTCTATTGTATTTACTTCCGTAGTTATAAACAAGTACATGAAAAAGGTCTACGTGATGACAGTGTCCGGTGTTAGCTCAAAAATGATTGTTTCTTTTGTAATCAATCTCCATTTGTTGTGGCTGTCACTTTTATTTGGTTGATGGCCCCTTCGTTGGGTTTTTGTCAGAGCTCTTCATAGAGCGAGTTGCGACATGAGTGTCTCAATTGTTGGAACCAAAATGGTGGATTATGAGTCAGTGCACACGGACAATTAGCTTACAATGGCCATATGCTGTACTGCACACATAATGAACAGCCATGTTGGTTCCAAAGTCTGAAGTTGGCGCTAATATACGTGTCGCAGAAACAGTTTTTTTTTTCGACTGCAGGTGTAGGTCGTCAGATCGTCTGAATACTCCTCAGAAATCCTCCACGCTCGGCTGATTTTCATGGAGCTTTTACGCCGCGTACATGTTTATACGTTGATTTTTGTATATAGTGAGGTATAAATGTTAAGTGATTACATCAACCGGGGCTATATGTACATGCGCATTAACAGAATCAGGTCATGGAGAATGAAAACCCATTATGAATTGTCACATGAGAATGAGCTTTTTAAGAAATGACCATTGCAACCAGTTAGGTATCTCATTCTAATAAGGGGACGTGAACTGGGTCAACTTTTGTAGTCTTCATACCATACGTAACACATGGAATCAGAGTGAAAAAGGAATCTGATATGTTACACTTTTGAAGGTTCCCCTCGTGTAGTCCTCGGTCAGCCCTCAAATACAATTGCTTTTTAAAGTTTCATCTGGCATAAATGCATCACTTGTGCCACCAACAGAGCGTATTTAAAGGAACATTTAGAAGATGGATCGGTGTTTATCGATCCCACATATGTTTAATTATGATAAATATGTACACCATCACCTTCAATATTACTTGTCACCCCCTTCCCTTTCAGCGAATCTGAAGCAAAACCTCTTCCGAACCAAACCATCAAGCCATGTTCCCGCCCCTTTCCGTGTCCAGTGACAATAGTAATTACAGGGATTACTCCTCAGCGACAAAGCGCAATTATACGCACCCGTCAAATGACATTGTTTACGGTAATGATGAATTGGACCAGACAGGGGGATAAAAGACAGGCCAGCTTGGCGCGCGCTGGGACGGCAGGGGAGACTAGGAGGATTAAGTCATCCAGTGAGCCTTCTCGTCTGCGTTGTACTCAGCGTTCACAGGTGCCCGGGTACCCACTGTCAGACAGTCATGATTAATGCTTTTCGGCAAACATTTTCCAGGACACAATATAATAAATAATAAATGAATATTGTATGATGACAAGGATGCAGAGTCCTTCTTTTATTTAGGAATTGCTTATCTATTTACAATTCTGCTATTAAATAACGCGTGGTAATTTCACTGAGACTGAAGAGATAGATTTTGGAACAGGTAAATGCAACTTTCTCTCTCTGATTATTTGTCGTCTGGCATTTTGCCTCATTTGAAATGGAAGAAATCACGATTTCCGTGAGAGCTATGATCAAAGGCGATACAATAACCAAGATTACGAAACACTGTTATGAAGGAAACCATGAAATCTAAAACAAGAACGTGAACAACCGTATATACATGTATGTTCCTGTTTTTTGCACAATTTGCGTTTAACGAGTATACAGAACGGAAAGATGGGATTAACAAAAGATGTTTCTATCCAACAAAGTACTGTAAGTGTAAAAAACAAAAACAATGCGAACTGCGACAGCCAAAAGTGTCGAAGCCCTCGCATGATTAACATTTTCGCTGAAAAATCAGGCAGTTTTAGTGTGACGTGAGTTTAAAGGTATTGAACTGTTATTGTTGGGGGTAAGTCACGAGGAAGGAATCCTCGTCAGCATCTGGGGAAGTCGGGTTTGTACATGTAGCTAACCGCAGGCGTGCCTTGTCGGTCGCGGCGGTTGGCTGGACACTAGAGTTTCCGCTGGCCAAAATAAAATTAATGACCCCCTACTGACAAACAAGGGAGTGTTTAAATCTAATGTGTGGGCCATCCTGTCAACAGATAGCATCAAGCAATGGCCTTGGCAGACATGCCAAATATGTGACACTAGAATCCTATAATATTATGATTCATTTTTCCCGACTGGAGTTGAATAGCACTTTTTGTGTATGTTGTCAAGTAACAACACATCACAGTCCCGTCATGACCCGTAAGCCGTAATTGCTGGGAGAATGAGGGATCACGCATTTATACGAATAGGCCTTGAAATGAGTGAAACTTATCCACAACCTAAGATCCAATTCATCAAATAGAAAATGTATCAAAATCCCCCCCCCCCGCGTGACTACTTGAAAAGAATGTAAACGATAACTGGATGGAAGATTCACGAGCGATGGAGCTGGACCTAGCCTTTTGTGTTGCGTATAGAACCTGTTACAACCAAGTGCTGACTGACGATAACTGACGATCTGTCCAGATACAGCTACTTGAGCTAATCGGCTGTGTCTTTCACCTTTGGCGGGGAAACGTTTATTCTATCACACAGGTGTCCAAAGATTCAGCTTTCCAATTAAAAAAAAAATACGGCAGAATTCCTGATCACGAAGGTCGTGATTGGGTATCACAGAGTTTGATAATTCTGTGAATTTGTGTTTGTGGTATGCACGTGATGTGCCAAACACATGCACGTCGACACTAAAACTTTTTATGACTACAGAGCCTTTGAGGTTAAAATAGCGGCTGCTATGTTGTATACAAGTTCACTTTGAGCATCATTTGCCTATAGCAAAAATAAAAACCTCGACATATTTCTATCCAGGGATGTTAATATTTTCTTCCCCAACAAGATCTTGGTACGTCTTCTTATGAGTGTTTGTGCTTTTGTGAAATACGCTGGAATCGATCGATGGGGAGCTCTTTGCCTCTGGTACACGAATGCGCATGTTTCAATTAATCCATTCACACAGATATTGAAACTTGGGTTCGCCTCTTTGCCTCTGAACTTACTGAAGTAAAAGTTCTGTCAAAGCTGCATCACGCTCGGACTTTGGAGATTCGGCTAGCTAGATTGAAATATGCACAACCTGGAATTCTGTCTGACTCATGACACTCTGACATGAAAGTTCAAGGGTAATCGCGAACGGAGAAAAACACTCGCATCCTTCTCCATAAGAAACTCGAACACACCCACAGCCAAATAGAATGATGTGCTGTCACGTTTGCGCAGGGTGCATGAATCAAGTTTCCGGCCGTAGAATTAGCGTTTCACACCTCAAACTTCCGAGAGAATTATGGGGTGACTTCTGCAGACTTTGTCACTATGCACAGAGGACTGGGTTGCTTGATCCTGCTTGGCAACAATTTCCCTTTCAGGCGCCTATTCATGTTCGGCCCCATCCTTAGTCTTAATTTAAGCAGTTGGAAGCAGTGTCTCGTTTGTCTTCGGTTAATATTCCCGCTGTAAGTCTGCATGCTTGACTTGTGACATAGGCCTATGTAAACGCACGGATCAGTGGATATGGGCGTTCAGCTTGCAATTATATTGGCAATGTGCTAATTCTTGATAAGTCTTAGATTTCTGTGTCTATGAGGGAGTTAAGATATCTCTTCAGTTCCACTCACGGATAATCTTGATATTTGCAATCAGCCAACAGAAAGTGCCAAATCAATTAGGCAATACACGTGTTTCCTGTTACCACGCATCGCTTGAAACTTTTTAAAGTGCTGATGGTTTAAAACATTTTTTTTGTAATCCGGATCCAGATTTTATTTGTTAAGTTCTTAGGAATTGCAAATTCTTTTGAAGTAAATCTGGTCTTTACTGGCCAAGAAGTGAATACTGCAAAAATGACTCCAGAATAGTTTTGAAACTGGTTGAAGAATTTAGATGCGAAAGCCATTAGACATCAATGTTGTAAAAGTATGGGAAATGTAGGCCTATAACTTTTACTGAACAATTTAAATTCTCCTTGAATCAAAATTGTCAAGTAGTGATGGAATGGAAAGTCCCCATATTAACTGGTTTCGAGTCTTTTAAAAGCAGATTTTCTCAAAAGACGGTGAAGGGATTTTTCTGTTTGGCTTCGAACTCTCAACTGGCCTCTATTATGTATTTCTTTGTCTTAGAAAGACGCTATCGGGTGTAGTGCTCTACGACGCAGGAACATGCTCTGCGACGTTTTCCTCTCCACGCTGTAACCGATATAGACGGCTGATACATTGATTGCTATTAGACTGCGAAATGGGAGGAAGCCGAAGATAGATTAACAGCCCTGCAGTACGGCAGGAACGGAATGGAAGCATAATCGTGGATGAAATTATAGTTTATCGTCTGTTCGGCTGCTTTTAAACCAGACTCTGTATCGGAAAGAAATCCGTCTGTCTTGTAGGAGATCAGCTTCATGAAATTAACTTTTAGTGGGACTGGAATATAAGTACGACTACTTCTTTTGCCTGACAAACAGTGGCAAAGCTAAAGGGGTGTAGGGTTGCAGAATGCAACGAACTGGAGAATTTCTGAGGAAACTTGGGATCACGCTGAGGGAAACAATATCAGGACGGTGAAAATAGTTGATTAATGTACGACTTGGATAGAGAAAATACAGCAGATGATAAAAGCACTGAACAGTGTGTAAATTTGAATTTAAACCTGAACGAGACACAATTTTCTATTTTGCAACGGGAAAACGAAACCCTTATCGCTCAACGGTAAAATAATCTAAGAAAGAGATTGAAGTTACCTGTCATGTCAAGTGGGTATGGTGAGTTGTGGAAACTGTAGCTTGAGCCGAAACCATTTGAGGTAAGGTACTGTTGTTGATGCGTGTGCGGATGCGAGGCTCCTGCGGCCGTTGATGCTGTCGCCAGGAAAGGGGGTTTACTGTAGCCGTTGTGGTGATACGACATCCGGGGGTGCTGGTGGTGTGCGGTGAATTGCCGATCGGGAGCGGTCCATGCACCGCCACCCACCGGCGACAGTTCGTCCCCGTGTGCCAGGGTGGCCTCTGAGCTGTAGCACGAGGTTGGGTACGGGTATGCCACTGCTTGGTCTGGACTGACACTCAGCGAGCTGCAGCTGCTGCGAGGCCGGTTGGTCGTGCCGTAGAGCCCGTTCACCGCTGCCGTGGCCGACGCGTAGCCGCGGTACTCCGCCGCGCAGCTCTCCGTGTTGGCCGGTCGGGCCGGCGACCAGCCCTGCTCCATGCCGATTTGCATCATCTAGCCGCCGGTCGGCTTGATGGGTCGGCTCGATGAAGGCAGGCCGAGTAGCGTGTGTCCCTTTGTGTTCGTCCCCTGAAGCCAAACTCACAGTATGCAATTTATGTGTGGAAGAGGGCCAAATCAATTCGGTTGACCTTACAGTGAACTTGAAACTCAACTAAAAACATGTGCTACACCACTCGCATGAGAGGTCGCTCGTTTGCAAGTGTCTCCGTTAGTCAAATCAACCCGCGTGATATGTCTCTTTCAGTTCCTCGATTAGATGGTTGTGTCAGGATGCCGGCTGAAGGTTTAGTCTACCTGTGTCACACACACTGTTCTGACGCAGGGACGCTCAACCGTCGTATATCAAAATGATGGGATCACGTGACTGGATGTGTACCTGTCACTGATGCATTCGTTCAGTAATATCTCATGTGGTCATCTCTTTGCCCACAGCTCCCCCCTTCCTACTTCATTATCCCAATCCCCTCACGACCCTTTTTATCAACTTTATGGCACGTTCCAGGGGCTGAATACAATAACGGGCGGCACGGCGGGCCTTTGATGTGGACACCGAAGGAGTGCCTTGCGTGTAAAAAGCCGGCCGGGGTTTTTATGGCCCCCACCACCCATCTACGACCCACAGGGGTTGCTCCCGTTGTAAACGTCACCAGTCGGCAGGTCTCTGCGCAGAGATCGCATAGACCCAGGACTTAACTTTGTGTGGGAAGGTGAGTTGGTCTTCAAAGTTCCACTTGCAAACTCCCTAGAAGAGAATACACGAAAACGGGGCTTCGAGAGCCCAGACGCAAACGATGTTTTGAACGTATTTTGTTTTCACTCGATATAGTGTTCCACTGTACTGCACAGTTTGGCCTAATAGACATGCTGTGAGTCAGCCCTATGAAGCCTGGCTTCATGGTTGGTATTAAATAAACCTGACAAAGTGAGTTGGTAAACATTTATGACAAACGCATATTTCCTCGTTTAGTTTTTGACACAGGTACGGTGCGGTGACACCCGGCCAAGTTGAACTTCGACCGATTGAACACAGGGTGGGAAAATTGTCAAATGAACTTTCCTGCTCGCGATAAAAGTTACATTTATCTTCGTACTCTGCCAGTGTAAAAAAAGTGATTTGGTCCATTAAGCGTGCTACGGGTACTTATATCTATTCATGAAAGCCGTAAAAATCCCATACATTTTCAGCAAATGAAGATAAATACAAATCCATTCCGTCAGTTTTTCAAAATTAGAATCATTACGCGCGTTTCTTTAGAGCGCGAAAGTGAAGAGAAACGAGTTAAGTGTGCCCTTTCTCGTCAACAGGTGGCAGTATTGTTTTCAATCAAGTTGAAATTTATTTGGACGCCTGTAAATGGTTTGTAGGATTTTTCGGAAAGGGGAGATACTTTATAAGGTGAAAGCTGTATGGATTTAATGAACGGCTTGAAACGTTTTAAGTCTTCGTCCCAAATTATTTTTTCAATCCTCTGCGCCACATTATAAGCGCTTGGTTTTGTAAATCATACTTTGCATTGATCACTTCATTTTCAATTTAATCAAAGACTACAGACATTTGTGTTTGTCCTTTCGCGATCAGTATTTCGCAATCATTAAAGTTTTAAACCCGCTGATATACTTCCAGATGCAGTTTTCTTTTGTCAGCTTTCATGGATAGTTACGTCAGTGTACAGTGTAGGTGAGATCATGGCAATCCATCAATTAAGACAAAGTCTGTGATTACTTTAAAAGGGGCAGATTAAGGACTGCTCAAGGAAAGAGTGTGTAAAAAAAGATGTCAACTCTACAAAGGACTGAGAGCTTGTCTTTCTGAGAAACATTGTTAAATAAACTCGGGAATTTCTTTCTTTAGTATAACAATTCTAGTAAAATAGGACAGGCTTCGAGGCCAACCGAGTGGACGAGCATGGTCAGATAAACTACCAGATTACCTCTCAGAAATTGATGAGACAGTGAAAATTAGGGAATCGGAGTTTGGTGTACATCAAGCAGTCTGGTGAATGACTATGATCATGGAGGAAGGACACAATAGATTGTCCCTTAGTGTAGTGCCTGTAAGGTGTTTATCACTGCTCTTGTCTTTGTCTTTGGTGGTCTTCAACCCCCAGCGGTTCCCCGACCTGAGACGGGAGGGGAGCATAATTTTCCATGGTGTACAGTACAAATGACTCCGCAACGTCCAGTGCATATGTACAGTATTCAAATTCCTGTACAGAAATGTGTCTTGTTTTCTCACAGACGTCAGGTTGTGCAGTTGCTCACGTGGTAATCATTAAGCTATTAGCTGTAGGTTGACTGCATCGGCTGCAGGTGGCGTGGTATAGGGAAGACGAGTACACACACGACAGCGCGGTCGGCGGTGTTCTATTTCCCCATATCAATAAACTCACTGGAAGACAGCCAAAACTGCGGTCATAATGTACATGTGTACATCAAATTATGCTTTGTTTAAAAAATACATCAGCACATTCATGCAGACGATGAGCCAAGTGCGCATTTGACTGTGTTTGGATGAAATATCATAACTGGTGTTTCAAACAAACGCTTCAGCCGCCCAATTTTCTTGTCAGAGTCAGATGTTGATCCTCGAAATTCTTTCGATAATTACGCAAAAACCTTAAATTTTGAAATTTGTTTCAACATCCACACTGTGAATATCATTCCTTAGTGAACGTGTTGTAAAGCCGGAAAGAGCGCAATACAGCACGGTGTGCACTTTAACAACAGCATCTGGAGACATTGGATAGACCTTGGGTATAAGAAGCCCCAGTTCGAGTAGTGACTTAATTGAGAAGTCTGGACGACTGTTGGTCTCGAACCTGAACTCTGCAGTCTCTGGAGATTGCAACCAACTTTAGGTAATTTCATAGCATACTGTCTCGCTATCGCATGTGCTCTCGGAAGAAGTGAAAACATGCTTATAAAACTTGCACAAAATAACATAACATGTAGTAGGCCTACTTTAGTCGCATACACTGGTAACCCTCTTAACAACTGTTCTCTCTACGCCAATATGATGTGCACTTCAGTAGAAAACCTTTGATGAGATTTTGCTTGAGAACTGACGATTGGACATTTCTATCGCTGGTAAAGGGGTTTCACGGTGTTTGAAACTGAGGGCGCTGTTCATGATAAAAAAAGTGCGTACACAATTTTTCATGTGTTTGTTTTTCCAAATTTCGAATTTGTCTCCGTCGCAGGCTTCGAATTGTACACGGACACCATTTATATAAAGACCTATTATGTTAACTTGTGCCGAATGAGACGACTTCCTTCATTAGCTTGACTGCACAAAGTATGTTTCTCATTTAACAAAAGTGTTTATTGATTGAGCCCAAAGCTTCGGAGTTATGGTGTTAAAGGGCCTCGGTAATGGAATTTGTTTGACTGCAACCCTTGAAATACCCCCTTTATCGTTCAGTTACCTCCATTTTCAATTACTGTTTTGCTATTTTCAAACGTTCTTTTAGTTTCATTTGGATTTCATGCTGACGAGAATTTCCATTTTTTATGAGCAAAAGCATGATTCCATTTCAGGAAAAACCTCAAGGCTGCTTTGATTTGCACCCCCCCAAAAAGTTGGAATTTTTTTAAAATCTTTGTTGTCCTTTGTAATTCATTGGTGGTTCAGACAAATAAGTAAGTACATGTACATGGCAATGATCCAACCAATAAGCTGAGCACCGTACCGTCTTCCCCGAATGAAATCACAGCATCATGGCCCTCAATTGTCCGGAAGACAAAGGAAATTTAAATTGTTTTAAAAGGTGCACTTCGCAGTACATTTAACCACTGGTGTTCAAAAATCGGAGAAGAGTATAAAGATGAACAAAAAGTACCTTCAAAAAGGCCCTCTCGTGAGCTCTTTAAAACAGAGCTACCACATAAACGGAGAAAATGCCAATATTTAGAAAAAAGCTCACAATAAAACACCCAAGACGCTTTGGGCATTTCAAACTTCGCCTTGCATTGATGTAAAACAGAGGATTTTTTTTCATAGTTTGATATCTATGGGCACCATGAAATCCGGCCAGTTATGTAAACGCGCAGCCTACGGCTGGTGGCCAGGAAATGGGCCCAAAATTACTCACGCGCACCAAACCGCGATTTGCTTGCATCAGAGCGCCGTGTGGTGCGTTGAGTTTACGGTCTTTCACGAATCGCGGGGTGAACATAACCAGCGTACATTTCTGAAAGATTTGTACCCTCCAAATTGCTCTACTTGATTGCACGTAATCATCAATTGTTTATTTGACGAAGGGTTCACGGTTGTTCAAGGTGATCATCTTCGGATAAAAATGTCCAAAAGTCATTAAATTTTAGTCACCCTCTTAAACTTGAAGAGAACATGAAAAAGATGAGGAAACGAAGTTTAAAATTATGTGTGTCATGAACACCTGATAAACTTGATAAAATTTTCTTGTTTTTTTTTTTTAATTGGGGTATTAATCACTGAGGTTTGCAGCTACTAATACTGGTTTGCAGCTTTGAGGGTTTGTCGTAGGTCAGCGAATACGGCCAAGCGATTGCTTTGTACGTTCGTTTGAACTGTCCCGGATGGATGTGCTGTTCACATTATATGAGGAATTGTTGTCCCCAGCAGTTTAATATGGGTGCGTGTGTGCGTACATGGTGTGCTTGGGGTGCCAACCCCGCACCCCCTTAGTCAATTGTGTCGGAAAAATCATTTTGCTGCAAGTATGGAGAAGTTAACAGCAAGTAGGGGGGGAGGTCAAGTATCGTGTCAGATCTGGGAATCAGACAGTCATTACACTCATGAAATTTATCGACGGCCCCTCGGCAAATTTCATGATGGTAGCCCCTCCCCCTTTAAAATGGTCTGGCGACACCCACGTGTGCACATTAATGTGTTCAATAATCTCTTTCGTTTCGTCTTTTCTTTTTCTGTTGTCCCTTTCTCCCACATGTCCGCACCCCACCGTGGCAAATAGACGCGTGGGAAAGAAGCGAATGTTCAGTTCGAGTCAAACATGACAATAAAAGTGGTTCCCTTTAACTATGTCGCCATCACGGCTGGCAATTTTACTCGATGATGGATTTAGCCTTATTATGGAGTTTCATCACAATCGATTCTCCCCCGTGAGTTGGAAATATTATAACAATCAACAAATCCTTCATCGTTTCCTTTCTAGCGGAAAAGAAGCCTCACACATGCAGGCACGTATAAAGATATAAACAACTTGCTCTGTCCCGAAATGAAAACAATCTACCATGCAAAAACTTGACAGAAAAGTGGATGAGGGATTTTTTTCTCACCTGGCGCCTTTTGAAAACGAAAGCTCACCAAGAATTCCCTTCTGGACAGATTACAAGGTTAACATACAATCCGCCACAGGAACATACCGTGTATTTTACCATAGTTGGAGGATTCACCCACTTGCTCACGGGCATACCCAGGCATCAGACTGTCGGTCCCCCAACTGAAGTCGGCCTGTGAGAGACTTGCTTACAGCTTGTACGTCCAGGCCGTCTGGATCAGGTGCTGAATTCAAAGGCAATAAACTGTATTCATGGTCGGCCATCTTGCATTGAAAGTGATGTTTAACTGTTCGACTTTGGGACCTGAGAGTAAACATAACAGAAATAAAAAAAGGCTCATTACAAATGTCAGTTTTACATTTTTAGTAATGTCAACGTTAAGATCAACTGTATCTAAATTTTGTAAGTCACAGTTAAAGAAATGAATGTGATGAGGATTGGAACCCAAAATAGTCTGACACAACCCCCATTTACTATATTGCACCGAATATCATAGATTCAAGGAACACGATCAA